ACGGTATCAATTGACTTGTAACTTTGAAGAATTCCTGGTAGGAATTTTAGCAGTTTTTCGTTGATTTTAGCAAAACTGTTGTTTTTAGGAGCCAATATTGCCCTCACGTACAGCCAACTGGGGTTTCCAAAATTGTTATCCAGATCTGGAAAGACAACAGCTTTAAGGCCATGAACAGTATTTACAACAGAATATATTTGTGAAACTGACATCTATCCAACTTCATCCAATGTCACGTTGTCGTCACCGAGCGATCTATTGTAAATTGCGCTGACATTTGGTCCCTGAACAGTTCAGCTCTCATGTTGGTTTTAAGAGGCAAAATTTTGACCTTTTGCCACAGAGGTGATTGTCGAACAATCACGTGGTCAAGATAAACACTCAGTTGTGGAGCAAGCTGAGTGAATACTAATTCAACATTGAGAAAGAGAGCTATTTATGGTGCAATGGAGTATCTCATTATGCTAAAGTGGGATAGTCCATTGCTTGGGCTGTGATTGGCTGCTGGTACCTGAGTGGAAGTATTTCTATATAAATACTAGCATGATTTCTCAGTTAGTTTGCAGGGTTTGTATTAAGTTACAACCTGCTTTATTTTTGTCTGCCAGCTGGACGCTAGCTGGGACTCTTACGCCGGTAAGTGTTGTTTATTGTATTGTTATTCTACATCTCCTTTTCCCCCATCGCGTGTGGGTAGTGGCCTTTGGGGTGGGATTTGTTCCTTTAAACCTGGCTGGTTGTGTGGAAGTAGTCTGGGCAATGCCCGAGGGTTTTTTGTCAGTGTTATTGTAGACGGCTGAGCAGTGTATGATGTTATTCCAGCGTCGAAGTATTGTTATTCTACAGTGATGACTTAATGCATGCTTTTTCACGGTCCGTCTTTGTATCGTTTGGATCAACAGGGAGAGTTTGCCTGAAATCGCCTTCTAGAATGGCAGGTACTCCTCCGATTGGATGTTGACAATCACTTATATCTGGCAAAATCCTATCCAGCGAGACATGCACTTCTTTGTGGGCCATCATGCACTCATCCCACACAAGGAGCTCACACCTTTTCAAGACGTCAGATTTATCCGAACAATTGCTGTTGTTGCACGTCACTGAATCAGACGAAGTCAAAATAAATGGCAACTTAAAGGTGAAGTGCGCTATCCTATCAGTCGGTGGAAGGGTTACAGCAATTCCCGAGGATGCCACAGCCAAGGAGATCTACTTCTTTTGCAGGACTTTTGCGAAGAGGAGGTTTTTAACAAATGTGTTACCTGTCCTTCTAGGGGCATCCAAGAAGAACAAACCAGCTTTCCGAAGGCAAACCAAGTCGAAAATCGTATTGTAAGCCGAAATAAATCAGTATACTAAAGGTGGATTCAGATTAGATTTCGAAAAGAAAAAAAAAGAAGCTGAATTTCTAAAAGAAAAATCGAGAACAGTTTATAATTAACTCTAGACAGGATTTCTGGGATCAGGAGTTATCATTATTTACATTCGGACTATTATCCTCATCTTTGTTGTTATTATCACCTGATCGCCTTCTGTTTGAATTTCTGGGATCAGGAGTTATCATTATTTACACTATTTACATTCAGCCTATTATCCTCATCTTTGTTGTTATTATCACCTGATCGCCTTCTCTCTGAATTTCTGGGATGAGGAGTTATCATTATTTACACTATTTACATTCGGACTATTGTCCTCATCTTTGTTGTTATTATCACCTGATCGCCTTCTGTCTGAATTTCTGGGATGAAGGGTTATCATTATTTGCACTATTTACATTCGGACTATTATCCTCATCTTTGTTGTTATTATCACCTGATCGCCTTTTGTCTGAATTTCTGGGATGAGGTTTTATCATTATATACAATATTTACATTCAGACTATTGTCCTCATCTTTGTTGGTATTATCACCAGATCACCTTCTGTCTGAATTTCCTGGATAATGGTCTCGTGGGCACAATTCACAAACCAACGCTTTAACCTACGGATAATGGTCTAGTGGGCAAAAATTCGCAAACCACTGCTTTTACGCCTAGGCAATGGTTTAGTAAGCAAAATTCAAAAACCAACGCTTTTACCCACGGGGCAATGGTCTAGTATATAAAATTCACAAGCCAATACTTTTACTCACTGGACATTAGTCTAGTGAGTAAAATTCACAGTTTAATGGTTTCACCGTACCTAATAATGGTCTTGAAGACCGGAGGACACAACAACACGAAATGTTTTGAAAAAATCAGAATGAGATGGAAAATTGTCCGGGTAGAAATAGTTTACAGGAAGATACTTTAAGTTTTAATTCAAAGTTTTCCTCTTCTACACTGGCTGCAAACTAAGGCAAAATAATCCAGTCGGCCATATTTTCCGGCTTACAAGATACCGCGCCTTGGAAAACGCACCCTAATATTGAAAATAAATTTCTAAAAAAAAAAAAAAAAAAAAATCATTCTCATACAACAGCACATTCACCACGCGTCCCTTACATACTGGCGCCACATATTGTCTACATTAATCATTCGTCCGATTTTGTTTGTATGGCAATGACATATTAGTCAAGAGCAGAAAGGTTCCCACTGCTGCTAGTAAACAGTGCATGTTTAAGCTTGTGGCTCCGCTCCAGGAATGTTTATAGTCTTGGAAATACTGTTTACTGATAAGTACTGAGGATATATCATATAAAAGTTTGAATTAGATAGATAGCTAACATTATAGTGAAATGACTCAACATAAAAATCCATGTCCCTATCAATCAAGCCAATTAGGTGAGCGTCCAAAACCACTTTAGCTTGGGAGTTGGGAGTTGTTTTTTTTAAAATGCGTCTTATAAGCCGGAAAATACGTTAATTCAGAGCTGTGGATTAATATAGTTCAAAATATAGCCAATAGTTACAGATAAGTATATAGAAACATTATCGGCTTAATAACCCTTTCCAGCTTATATAAAGCCAGAAATTGTTTTTAGACAGAATTGTTTTTACATTTTTTTGTAGATAATAATGATTTCGCAACACAGCTCTTACTAATTAACCCTTAGCTGGGAGGAGAAAATGTGCATTCATGGCTAATCAGAATCTGATAAGCAAACAAAAAATTATGAGGTCGATATAAAGTGGGGGTTCAATTCTACATTACAATTAATATATAAACTGAAAACTCACTTTATGCAACGTTTATTTTCCAGAGAATGTAAATAAATCTAAAAGTACAGATCTAAAGCTAGATCCACCAGGCTTATCAATAAAGACATCGGTTACTTCAAGGAGAGCACAATGGTCTGCTTTGGTTGACTAATCGACTCGTTAGCTACGGCTTATCGACATTTTGCTGGTTATTTAAAGCCAGAAAATAGTTTTAAAGTGGAAGAATTTATTCGTTTTGGAATAATAATGTTTTAGTGATACAAACCGTACTAATTAATCCATAGCTGGGGGAAGAACAGGTGAACTCATACCTAATCAGTTTTTTAACAAACGAGAAATTATAATGTAGATCTAAAGTGGGGGTTCAGTTCTATATTAAAATCAATATATAAACTGATCCCTCAGTTGGTAGCCATTGTAGTTATTATACAATAATATTCCAGAGAATGTAAAGAAATCTAAAACACGGCCGTGTAGCTAATAAGTATTTGATTGTTTTGTGATATCAACGAACACTCGTTGACACTTTTGTAATATCAACAAATACTCGACTATTTACCCGTATAGTGATCTAAATAGAGAAATAGTATAGTGAATAGAGATGAGAATAGCGGTCTGTATAATAATAGAGGATAGAATAGAAATGGAGATCAGAGTGGTAACAGAAAATAGAATCACCATCAATTAGACACAGGATACCTCCCATATATGCGCTTCCTCTATGGTCACGTGGTGTACTTAATTCAAAAATGGGATCGCCTCTGTTTGCTTACTGGCGATTTATGTTCAAACTCAATTGTCGGCAGCGACACATTATTCCTGTATAAAAGATTGATTCGATTCTTATGGCTTTCATTAATAGCGAATGACAAACAGTTGTCTCAGTCGAGAAATCCATGCGCTTGCTGTCTCTTGCTTTTTAAAAATAAACATTTTTAGATATAAAAATAATTCATAAATCACATTTCTGTTAAATTGATGGGGCGCACCTCGTTAACTTTCAGGAGGTATTACTGCGTCCGGGCGAGTCTGTTGAGAAACGCTGCACTTAGCAAATCATTAGCGTGCCAGTTCCTCAGCTTATCTCCTCACACACAACATTGTACCACATGAGGTCTTGTCTGCAAGCTTCTTGTGGGAACGAAGTGTCATATCGACACAAACATCTATCAACTGCTGGAGATCCATATGTCGAAACCAACGGGAATGGCCATTACACTGTTTCCACGTGTCAAAAAATTGGTTCTTGTTTTCAAATACAAGAGCGTATTGTATATATATATATATATATATATATATATATATATATATATATATATATATATATATATTTTGAATGTGCTAATTTTAAAGTTAGATATATTGATGAGAAGTCACCTCTTTTCCAGAAACGTGCAAAGGAACATCTGCCTGCGGTTTTAATAAATAACTCATCAACTTAGAAACGTTTGTCAAATAGCATTCGGCGTAAACAAAAATGCAATTTTAATTGCTGCCCTATCATAGACAGGGCGGATACAGCGTGGAAATTGGCTATTAAAGAAGAATTTTGTATTGCTAAAACGAGGCCTGATTTAAATGAACAGGTTGAAACTAAGTTTCTAAAAGTAGTCTTGTAGAATTATAACAACTATTTGTTGCTCTCAGACCAATAATGGAGAATTGCTGTTATGACTGGTTTGGTGTTATCTGTCCGCCCCCACCCCCTGCAGAGTTGTCTTGAGATCAAAATGGTTTACGGGGCCTTGTGGGTGAAGAGTTTTCTTTTTCCACCATTCAACACTTATGCCACTCATCATGGGCACGACTGGATACAACACGTGGCATATCTATCAGTCATTTCATATATATCTGTCTATTAGTCTATCTGTCAGTCTGTTCATTATCTATCTATCTATCTATTTATCTATCAGTCATTTCATATCTATCTGTCTATCTATCAGTCTATTTATCAGTCTGTTCATATCGCTCTAACTATCTATCTTGACCACACGTTGTTTTGCAAACCGTTTCATTCTATTCATATCTATCTATCTATCTATCTATCTATCTATCTATCTATCGATCTATCTATCTATCTATTCATATCTGTCAGGCATTTCATATCTATCTGTCTATCTATCAGTCTGTTCATATCTATCTATCTATCTATCTATTCATATCTGTCAGGCATTTCATATCTATCTGTCTATCTATCAGTCTGTTCATATCTATCTATCTATCTATCTATCTATCTATCTATCTATTAGTCCTTTCATATCTCTATCTAGCCGTCTATCAGTCTGTTCATATTTTTCTATCTAACTTGAACACATGTTGTTTTGCAAACCGTCTCATTCTATCCATATCTATCTATCTATCTATCTATCTATCTGTCTATCTATCTATCTATCTATCAGTCATTTCATATCTATCTGTCTATCTATCAGTCTATTTATCAGTCTGTTCATATCGCTCTAACTATCTATCTATTTATCTTGACCACACGTTGTTTTGCGAACCGTTTCATTCTATTCATATCTATCTATCTATTGATATCTGTCAGGTATTTCATATATATCTATCTATCAGTCTGTTCATATCTATCTATCTATCTATTTATCTATTAGTCATTTCATATCTCTCTCTATCCGTCTATCAGTATGTTCATATTTTTCTATCTATCTTGATTACAGGTTGTTTTGCAAATCGTCTCATTCTATCCATATCTATCTATCTATCTATCTATCTATCTATCTATCTATCTATCTATCAGTTATTTCATATCTATCTGTCTATCTATCAGTCTATTTATCAGTCTGTTCATATCTCTCTAACTATCTATCTATCTTGACGACACGTTGTTTTTTCAAACCGTTTCATTCTATTAATATCTATCTATCTATCTATCTATCTATCGATCGATCTATCTATCTATCTATTGATATCTGTCAGGCATTTCAGATCTATCTGTCTATCTATCAGTCTGTTCATATCTATCTATCTATTTATCTATTAGTCATTTCATATCTCTCTGTCTATCAATCCGTCTATCAGTATGTTCATATTTTTCTATCTATCTTGATCACACGTTGTTTTGCAAATCGTCTCATTCTATCCATATCTATCTATCTATCTATCTATCTATTTATCTATCATCATTTCTATTTATCAGTCTCTATCGCTATAACTATCAGTCTATTTGACCACACGTTGTTTCAAACCGTTTCATTCTATTCATATCTATCTATCTATCTATCTCTATCCATCTATCTATCTATTCATTTGCAAACCGTTTCATTCTCAGTCTATTCATATCTATCTATCTATCTATCTATCTATCTTATCTATTAGTCCTTTCATATCTCTATCTATCTCTATCAGTCTGTTCATTTTTTCATCTAACTTGAACACATCTGTCTATCTATCCAGTCTTCATCTCTATCTATCTATCTATCTATCTATCAGTCATTTATTCATCTGTCTATCTATCAGGCATTTCATCTCTATCGCTCTAACTATCTATCTATTTATCTGTTTTTGCAACCGTTTCATCTATCATATCTATCTATCTATCTATATCTGTCTATCTCATATATATCTATCTATTAGTCTGTTCATATCTCTATTTATCTATTAGTCATTTCATATCTATCATCCGTCTGTTGTTCATATTTTTCATCTATCTTGAACACATGTTGTTTTGCAAATCGTCTCATTCTATCCATATCTATCTATCTATCTATCTATCTATCTATCTATCTATCTATCAATCATTTCATTTCACATCTATCTGTCTATCTATCAGTCTATTTATCAGTCTGTTCATATCTCTAACTATCTATCTATTTATCTTGACCAAACCGTTGTTTATTCAAATTCGTTTCATTCTATTCATATCTATCTATCTATTGATATCTGTCAGGCATTTCATATATATCTATCTATCAGTCTGTTCATATTCATCTATCTATCTATTTATCTATTAGTCATTTCATATCTCTCTGTCTATCTATCCGTCTATCAGTATGTTCATATTTTTCTATCTATCTTGATCACACGTTGTTTTGCAAATCGTCTCATTCTATCCATATCTATCTATCTATCTATCTATCTATCTATCTATCTATCTATCTATCTATCAGTCATTTCATATCTATCTGTCTATCTATCAGTCTATTTATCAGTCTGTTCATATCGCTCTAACTATCTATCTATCTATCTATCTTGACCACACGTTGTTTTGCAAACCGTTTCATTCTATTCATATCTATCTATTGATATCTGTCAGGAATTCCATATCTATCTCTCTATCTATCAGTTTGTTCATATCTATCTATCTATCTATTTATATATTCATATCTGTCAGACATTTCATATCTATCTGTCTATCTATCAGTCTGTTCATATCTATCTATCTATCTATCTATCTATTTATCTATTAGTCATTTCATATCTCTCTATCTATCCGTCTATCAGTCTGTTCATATTTTTTTATCTATCTTGATCACACGTTGTTTTGCAAATCGTCTCATTCTATCCATATCTATCTATCTATCTATCTATCTATCTATCTATCTATCTATCTATCTATCTATCAGTCATTTCATATCTATCTATCAGTCTATTTATCAGTCTGTTCATATCTCTCTAACTATCTATCTATCTTGACTACACGTTGTTTTTTCAAACTGTTTCATTCTATTTATATCTATCTATCTATCTATCTATCTATCTATCTATCTATCTATCTTGTGTTAAATATATAAGTGTAACCGTAAGTTCTATGCTAGCATTTTTCTCTGACGCACTTCTCTGCATCACAGTTAACTTTGACCTTCTAAATTTTAAATGAAATATCAACCATTATCTACTGCCCGCGAAATTATTCTCCTATTTCCTCGCTCCTTAGTAATATTTCTGCTTTCTATTTTATTCACACTCAGTAACTGCTTACGTTTTAGTAACTTTACTGCCTTGCGTGGTGTGAAATTGATTAAGGAGAACCGTAAGTTCTATTCTAACAGTTTTCTTCCCTCGCCCTACCGAAAAACCCTCCGTTTTCTTGCTTTCCCTTCATCTTTGATCTTCCAAACGTTTTATCAATCGTTATATTTTGTCTACTTAATTCCTATTCTTTTATTTTAGTCTCTTCTTAATAACTTTTTCTTTTTCACATATTATTTTCACATTCAGAAAATCCTTGCATCTTAGTGGCTTTATTGCCTTTCTTAAAGTGAAAGGATCAACAAAAATAACATTGCTAAACTCTCCGTACCCTAGCGCAAATACTATGGTAACTATTCTTACGAATTTAGTCACACCAGTTCATGACTATAGAGCTAGGATCAATTATAACATGTGTTCATTTGGTAAGGCGTAATTTCCAGTCAGAATGTTTTTGCCTAGAACTGTTCGTTTGTGGAACAAATTATTGAGAGTATACATCCGTAAACATTAAAACCTTAACCTCAAGGTCATATCTTCATAATATACACTTTATAAACATTCAGTAATCTTTCATCATCAGTATGAGGTGAGATAAAAAAAAATTCTTTTCCTTCTTAAAAATCTGAATTGCTGAAACGTCTTCTTTTTCTAAGACGTATTGCCCGTTACAATATTGTATTGTTCTTTGGGTCATAAATTTAAGGATTAAAATTAAATCAATGTAAGTTTTTCGATGAAGAAGGCAGATTAAACTACCGAAACCTGTACCAAGATATTGGCTACATTGTTATCGCGTCGGTTGTATAATTCGAGTTTTATTCTTATTTCAAATCTATAAATATATAATCAAACGGAGATACATAACGAGAAGAACGGGATGAGATAGATAGATAGATAGATAGATAGATAGATAGATAGATAGATAGATAATGAAGAAATCAACATAGAGAGATATATAGAGACATTGAAAGAAAGAAAGAAAGAAAGAAAGAAAGAAAGAAAGACACAAATAAGGAAGACATTGAAATACGAAAATGGTTGATAAAGAAAGAAAGAAAGAAAGAAAGAAAGAAAGAAAAAAAACAAAGAAAGAAAGAAAGATAGAGGGAGAGGGAGGGTGAGTGAGACAAATGCTTGAGATAGATAAATAAATAATGAAGATATCAACATAGATAAGATGTGACTGATATATATATATATATATATATATATATATATATATATATAGATAGATAGATAGATAGATAGATAGATAGATAATGAAGAAATCAACATAGAGAGAGACATAAAGAAAGAAAGAAAAGAAAGAAAGAAAGAAAGAAAGAAAGATAGAGGGTGAGGAAGGGTGAGCTTGAGATAGATAAATAGATAATGAAGATATCAACATAGATAAAATGTGACTGATATATATATATATATATATATATATATATATATATATATAGATAGATAGATAGATAGATAGATAGATAGATAGATAAATAAATAACTAGATAAATAGATATAAACAAACTGGGATAAATAGATATGAACATATATATATATATATATATATATATATATATATATATTTTTTCAGATAGAGTGCATCTTTAAAGGGAGAAAATGAATTGAAAGACAAAAGGAAAAACTATATTTAGCCGACTCGTTTCGTCCTCTGAGGACTTTTATGAACGCAATTGTACGATTTATTTTGTACGTGGGTGAGGTGTCATTTTAGAGTATATATCCATGTATCATGTGACCTTTGCAGACCTAATTTTGAATCTAATTTGACGACAGGAAATGGATAAATATTTTGGTCAACGTCGTAGCCAGGTCCAGCAGTACATACGATAATTTTATATCTATTTTATGATACGGCCTCCTTAAGGTCCAAAATTAGGTCTTCAAGACTCGCATGATATGCGAGTATATATATATATATATATATATATAAATATATATATATTAGTAGTTCTAGTAGTCAATATATATATATATATATATATATATATTAGTAGTTCTAGTAGTCAATATATATATATATATATATATATATTAGTAGTTCTAGTAGTCAATATATATATATATATTAGTAGTTCTAGTAGTCAATATATATATATATATATATATATATTAGTAGTTCTAGTAGTCAATATATATATATATATATATATATAGTATATATATATATATATATATATATATATATATATATATATAGTTCTAGTAGTCATATATATATATATATATATATATATATGTGTGTGTGTGTGTGTGTGTGTGTGTGTGTGTGTGTGTGTGTGTGTGTGTGTGAAAATATATAGAAAATAGGAAAGAACTCGTTAGGTAAATAATCCAAAGTTCTTTAGTATTTTGTTATTGTTTTTAAAAAATAGTGCTCGATACAAAAGTAGACCATAAATATAATTATTTATTTGAAAATATGATTCCAACATGCTCCAACTTAGTGGGAAGGCCAAGACCGACGTTGCATTTCCCAACTCCCATCGATAGTGGAAATAATCGATTTTTTCATGCTTCTACGGCAGTTTTCATGTAGTTTGAGGCCATTTTGTACTGGCCAGAGTGAGAGCCTATAGCTGGCTGCCACGAATAGGCAGGAAGATTCTGTTGGCCAGCTGACTGACACGAATGTTAACTAGCATGCAAAAAAATATCGATAGCTGCATTCGTCACAAGTGTGAAAACTTTAAATCTGCATTGCACTTTACTCCAATTGACTCATTCGCTTGCTTAAACTCAACAAAATTTATGTATAGTTTTAAAAACAAGGGATGTATTGATTTTAATTCTAAAAGTCTCTAGGGCCCTTTCAGCCAACATCTCATCAGGAGACAATCGTTGGATCAGCGAAAAGAATATTAACGACAATGAAGAGCAAAAAGAGTGGGGAAACACACTAAAAAAACAAACAAACAAGTGTATATACTTGTAACGAGGGGAGGGGAAATAATCGCGTAAATAAATTAGCGAGGGACAGTTAAAATAAATTATCCCCCAACAGATTAAGAGACTTTACAAATTCTTTCTGCCGGCAGAGAGAAGGTTTCCTTAATCCTATGCAGACCGATTCCAAAATCTTCAAATGATTGTTGGAATCGACTGTATGAATTTCATTGTCGTTAATATTCATTTCGTTGATCCAACGATTGTCTCCTGATGAGATGTTGGCTGAAAGGGCCATAGAGACTTTTAAAATTAAAATCAATACATTCCTTGTTTTTAAAACTATATATATATATATATATATATATATATATATATATATATATATATATTCCCCAAGCTACAGAGCGTGAAGGTGAGAGAAAAGAGTATAGGGATGATTAAGGAAAGGACAAAACGGTGGCGATTGAAGTAGCATTTAAATTTTTGAAGATTGCATTTATCATGGAAGCAACTAAGCGGGAGGTAGATCCACTGAAGGGATTTGCGAGAAAAGAAACTGTTGGAGTAGAGCTGGCAGTTGCGTCCAGCTATTTCAAGAGTAAACAGGTGCGACCTGGATGCCAATCTAGTACCACGCTTAAATTCATGCAGTCAGGACAGCAGAGTAAAAAGATCATCAGAGCAGTTGCCATGAAAGTATTTATAGAAAAGAGAGTGGGACACCACAAAAAGTTGGTTGGAAAGTGACTGAAGTTGTGATGTCAAGTCAGGACCGTTTTTTCTTTGGATTTTGTCAAGAACCTTGAGGTAAATAGCAGGAATATCAGACCAGATATGGCAAGAGTATTCACAGCATGGACGAATGGTAAATTTTTAAATATGCAAGATGGATACTGAAGATAAAAAATTTTCTGGCACTACACAATGACCTAACTTTCCTTACAGTATATGCAGCAATTGATTCTATGTCGCCGCTCACGTCAGTTGAAAACTTAATAGCACGAAGAGAATTCCGTCTATGGTGGTTAAATTAGATTATTTTGATTTGGAGGCGTTAAAATTTACGAGCCATTTCCAGCCCCAGTCAACCAATGATTGGAGGTCATTTTAGGGAGCATCATCCAGGCTTACTTTGGCATCTCTGACGGGTTTGCTATTGAGGCAGGAGTAAATGGTAGTATTGTCTGCATAAATACTTCCTTGCTATCTGAATATCTTCATTCCGGTTGCCACAAATTCGCTGCTCATTGCTTTGCTAACGACATGACAACCACATTTCTGTTTAAAGTTCTACGATGTGGAGTTAGCATTATTTACAGCATTTACATTCTGACTTATGTCCTCATCTTTGTTTTTGTTATCACAATATTTCTGCTGTTGTGGTCTGCGGTTTAATCCAGGCATTTTTTTTAACTGAACGGTTTCTTTAATCTACGGGGAGAGGGTACTTTATTTGCATACCACCGTCCATTTTGAAGGCGTTTCCTGTTCCAGTTAACCGCTAGTTGGAGGTCCTTTTCAAGAGCAGCGGTCAAATTTACGTTGTCAGCTCTGACGGATTTTCTAATGAGACAGGTGTGAATGGTAGTGTCATCTGCATAAATACCTACTTAGGATCTGAACGTCCTAATCTCAGTTGCCACAAATTCGCTGCTCATTGCTTTCCTGGCGGCATGACAACCACATTTCTGTTTAAAGTTCTAGGATGTGGAATAATCATTATTTACAGCATTTACATTCTGATGTGTCCTCATCTTTGTTTTTGTTATCACAATATTTCTGCTGTTTAATCCAGGCATTTTTTTTAACTGAACGGTTTCTTTAATCTACGGGGACGGGGTGCTTTATTCGCATACCACCGTCCATTTTGAAGGCGTTTCCTGTTCTAGTTAACTGCTGGTTGGAGGTCCTTTTCAAAAGCAGC